CTCCTGGATAGAGTGAATTTAATTGTGGTTGGATGAGAAGTATAAATATATACCATTCTGACGTCCTATTAGCTTCTACACAACCCATCTAATGCACGGCGTTAGAAAAAATATTTTTTGAGAAGTCACCTCACAATAAATGCCATTTTGTAAAATCTAACTGCTCACTTTTACTCAGTACTTTTACTTTTAATACTTAAGTAGATTTTGTGTCAGAAATTTACTTTGATACTTAAGTACAAAAAATAGCAGCTACTTTAAGACTTTAACTCAAGTAATATTTTTAGAGAAGACTAACTTTTACCAAAGTATTTTTATGATAAGATACTTGTACTTTTACTCAAGTATCACTTTGAGGTACTTTATACAACACTGGTGTAAAGATGCTTTCTTGACTTTTTGTATTTGAAGGATAGGTATGTCACAGGCACTTTAATTGCTGGATGTTCGGCCCCTGTGCTGTTGGCCTGCAGTAACTGTGGCCCCCGGAGAAACTTAGTTGAATAGCCCTGCTTTATGGCTTTAGAGCTTCAGTTAGGATCTTTATCTAAATACGTCTGATAACTGAGTTACACCCAACAACCACCTGCAGCTCCACAGCTGCACTCTCTGAATAACACCAGCCTTTTTCTCCTTCTGCATGGAGTTAAACCCTGTCAGTCTGAGCAGGCYTCTCATTGGTCAGCTGTTACCTGCCGGAGCGCGCAGGGAGCCGTTGTTGAAGAAACCATCAGAGGAGTTGTGGCGGCGGCGGCTCACAGCGGGTCGGCCGTCTCTGTGGTGGTGAGGCTCACCTTGCTTGTCAAGGTTGGCAGCAGGGGACTGCAGGGGGACAAGGAGGGAGGGGCYGTAATTAAAGTCAAACCTTAATGAGCTTACATGTGCCTTTACTGTCAACTTCCTGTTTCAAACACTCCCGTCCTACTGACACCTGGTTCACACCTCTGAATTACATCAAATTATTCTGAGATTCAGAGAAAAACATGAGAGAAAACACGTTCAGCCAGTCCTGCTGAACGGATTACACAATCTGAATTCAATAAAACTTTATTGAGCAGATATTTCTCCAGAGTATTGAGCCGTCTGTCCCTTCTTACAAACAACACCAGCTCTTGATAAGGAACAGTCAGGTCTTTTGTATTCAAATAATAAAACCTGTAAGCTCTGCTCGGAGATTAAAAGTCAGGTGTTTTTGTCTCTCAGTTTACTGTAAACGTGTTTTTGTTGCCTCTAACAGCCACCTTGAAAGACAGGATTTCCCACAACAATTCTAAACATTTCAGTAAATTTCTCCAGAAGGATTTCTCTGACCCTTAACCAGAGCCGGCTCCTTATCTCAGCCTCTCACTTATCAGAGAACACGTTTGACATCAACACCGCGTTCAGTCCGCTGAACAACCGTTTCCTCCTGAAACTCCTGCAGGGAGAGTGGGAGGTGAGGATGGAGACGACATTCTTCAGACATTTTTTAACCCAAACAAAGTATTTTTACTGATTAAACCTCCATTTATGACCTTAAATTCTTTAATGTCAGTGAGGAATAAAGGRTTATTTAAATTGGATATGTGCTAGTTAGCTAGGAACCATAAACTAGAACTAACCATTTGTTTATCAGTTCTGTCTTAAAGGGATCCCTGATTAGTTGTAACATTAGACTTTATTTGGTAAACATATATTTAAACTGTAAAATAAAGACTGTAAAAATACTGTAGGCTGTTTAAGTTTT